TCCTCCTCCTCCTCCTCCTCCTCCTCCTCCTCCTCCTCCTCCTCCTCCTCCTGATCGTCCTGCCCCCCTAAAAAAATAGCTGGACCCCCCGTCGAAGGCTCGCGGATAGCCAGAGCACCCCGTGTCATTTGGATGCCGACGGGGCGGTCGATGCCGCCTGATGGGCGGGGTGCAAACTCTCGGACGACTATCCCCAGGACGGGCGGGAGCGAGGCCCCTTTTTGAAGGCTTGAAGAGGGAGGGGGAAGAAGAAGAAGAAGAAGAAATGAAGTTAGGAGGAGGAGCAGCAGCAGCAGCAGGAGCCGCAGGGTAGCAGGAGGAGCACGAGGAGGATGAGGAGGCGGAGACGCAGGCCAAAGCGAAGATAGCGGCTGAGGGCTACTGGGGAGGAGGCACAGGGGAGGGCGGGAACGACGACGACGACGACGACGACGACGACGACGACGACGACGACGTCGGCGGCGGCGGCGGCGGCGAGGGCGGCGGCGAGGACGGGGAGCGGGGGTGGGCGGAAGGAGCGGGCGAGACCAACCCCTCCTGGCCGCCCCTGCTCCTCACCCTCGCCCTCGCCCTCGCCGCCCTCGCCGTGCCAGGCGGCGCCGCCGTCCCCCCGCCGTACCCCCGCAGCGTTTCTGAAGCCCAACGGAACCCCTGCGGCGCAGCCCTCCCGCGCGCCCGCGCTAACGCGCGCCCGCGCGTCAACGCGCCTGCTCGGCGGCGGCCCGGACTGCAAACGGCCCGCCTCCTCCTCCTCCGCTGCCGCCGCCTCCTCCAGCCTCCTCATGTCCTCCTCCTCCGTCTCCTCCTCTTGCTCCTCCTCTACCTTTTCCTCATCCCCCACCTCCTCTTCATTCTCTTCATCCAATGTATCGTCCTTTTCCTCCTCGTCATCCTCCTCATCATCCGCACTATCATCCTGCCGTCCTCCTCATAGTATCCTCCTCCTCCTCCTCCTCCTCCTCCTGCCTCTTCCTCTCCTCCTCCTCCTCCTCCTCCTCCTTGTCCCACCTCCTCCTCCTCCCCTCCCCCTCCTTATCCACCTCTCTCCTCTCCTCCTCCTCCTCCTCCTCCTTAACTCCTCTTCTTTATGAATTATTAGACTATGAGTTATGATTTAATGATATTATACTGACCACTATTATTATTCGTTGATTCTCTTGCGTGTATTATTAGTATGATATGCAGTAGTATTTTAAGTATTATTATTAATCGTAGTATTAGTACTACTAGTATTATTTTTATTAGTGTTGTTGTTATTAGTAGTAATATTATCATTATGATTAGTAGTATTATTATTAGTAGTATTAGTACTAGTATTATTATAAGTCGTCTAATTATTAGTTGTGTTACTATTATCATCATTAGTATTATTAATAGTATTCGTCGTATTCGTCGTATTCGTCTTAGTCTTCTTAGTATTATTGAATTTCTTCTTCTGGATAGTATTATTATTATTATGATCATTAGTATTCTTATTATTCTCCATGGTTTTATTAATGATATTACCATTACTACTACCATCATTATTATTACATCATTACTATTAGTACTACTAATATTATGAGTATGATTAGTATTGTTATTATCATTAGTATGAAAGTTATTCGTATTATGATTCTTCGTATTATGATTCTTCTTCGCCTTATTATTAGTAGTACTAGTAGTATTATGCCTAGTGTTATTATCAATGTTACTATTATGTGTTCGATTAACCGTATTATAATGCTTAGTATTATTCTTCTTATTAGTATTAGTATGAGTATCAGTTGTCTTAGTCTTATTCGTCTTATTATGTGTATTATTATTCGTAGTCGTCTTAGTGTTCGTATTATTCTTATTCTTAGTATTATAAGTCTTATTATTGGTATTCGTCTTAGTAGTAGTAGCATTATTAGTATTATTATTCGTCTTTTTTGTATTATTCGTATGACTACTCTTATTGTTCGTAGTATTATAATGTGTATTATTCGTCTTCTTAGTATTCAAATGATTATTGTTGCTCTTCTTCTTAGTCGTCTTCTGATTCGTCTTCTTAGTATTCGTCTTCATATTCTTATCAGTATTATGTTTCTTCCTCCTCCTCCTCCTTCTCCTTCTCATCCTCTTCCTCCTCCTCCTCCTCCTAACTCCTCTCCTCCTCCTCCTCCTCCTGTTCCTCCTCCTCCTCCTCCTCACCATCATCATCAATCATCATCATCATCATCATCATCATCATCATCTATCATCATCATCATCCCCCTCCTCCTCCTCTCCTCTCTCCTCCTCCTCCCTCCTCCTCTCCTCCTCTCTCCTCCAACTCCTCCTATTCCGCCTCGTCCTCCCCCCCTCCTCCTCCTCCTCCCCCCCCTCCACCTTCCCCTTTGCGCCGCCCCCACTCCTCGCGCCGATCGAGTTCGAAGGAGAAAAAATGAAGATAAAGAATGATCAGCAAGCCCAGGGGGGGGGCGGGGCTAGGGCGGGCGGCCTTTGCTTCCGCCGCGTGCTTCCACCACTCCTCCGACGCCCCTGCTTTGAGGGGCCAATGCTTGGTGATATGGAGGCCATTGGGCCACGGGAGTTTGCCAGCCGCCAGGGCCCTGACCTGGGCCTTGTAGAACTGAGTGCAAGGCTCGAGCAATCAGCGAGGGGGTCCCAGAGCAATACGCCCCGCACCTCTTGCAACAACAAGAAACGAGCCCAGGCTCAAGGCATCTGGAGACCCAGAGGCGGTGGACTTTGCCAGGGGCGCCCCGAGGGGCCCCAGGGCCAGCAGGCTCGGAGTTAGAGACGCACAACAACTGTTGCATCCTGGAGGCGTGGCAAAGGTGCGGGCACAAGCAATGCACTGCCGCCTAGTGCTGTTCCAGCGACAGTTGTGCAATGTGCCTGGGGCCAGGGTCCTGGGGCCAGGGCCAGGGCCAGGGCCATGCGCGAGCGAGCCTCGACAAATCCCCAAACAGCTCTTTGGACCCTGGCCACAGTTCAGGCAGACTGGACATCGCTTTGGCCACTTTGAGCCATTTGTCAACGGCCAGGCACAATCACAACTCGATGTCCTGGGCATGCGGGTGCATCAGGGCCCCTCGTTTAGCATACTCCTCTGCCAGACCATCCCCTTGGATACTTAGCAGAGTGGTGGGGGTCGGTCTCATCCTCTGCCATCGAGTGAGCTTTCACCTTCGTCGGTGCCAAGGGTGGGTATCTACCGTCGTCCATTTTGCGCCAGATATATGCAGAGCTGGTGGCCCCGTCGGTACTCCTGCGAAGTACACCCACCCATTGCCTCTGGGCAGCGCAATCCACCTTGGCGGCAAGAAACGGCAGCTTCGAGTCGGCCTGCATCAGCCCGCGTAGCACCGCCAAGTGTTCTCCAAACACTGGTGTATGGCTGGGGAATCCTGGAACTGGCCCGAATATGGCCTTCTTGAAGGAGCCCTCCTGGTGGGTTGCGACGGCTGCCCACCCCGCTCGCGGGCCCCCCGAGCTGAAAAAATTGGGCCCGAAGCCACTCCCATCGAGGAAAATCTCGTCCTCGTTCCCGACGGTGAAGGGCCCCTGGGACCCATACTCGCCCAGGCACTCGACAAACTCACCCATGACAGGCGGGGCCCGCTGTTCAGAAACAGGAGCCTAGAGGTGCCCGAAAAGAGGGCCCCCGGGTCCAGCAGAAAGACTCCTGGAGAACGTCCTGATCAACTATTTATGATTTTCCTGCGCCCTCGGGAGTCCGATGGTGCCCGGAGCCCCCCGATGATCTCGGGGCCCAGCAGGACCAGCCTGAGGTCCTCGGCGCAATAGCCCTTGACGGTGATTGGGGGGGGTCTCGGCGAGAAGGAACCCAAGTCCATTTGGCCCCCTAACCCTCGCAGCAGCACGCACAAAGACCCAGCCCGCCACCTGGGCCCAGCAGAGCACGCCCCCCCCCCCCGCCCCCCCTTAGACCCCGAAGCTCTACTGGGCCAAGCTGGAGTCCCTGGGGAGGGAGGCCATCGAAGCACTGCTCACCTAAGTCGAAGACCTGGTTGAGCACCAGGGGGGAGAGACCGTCGAGGCCTTGGTCTGGGTCTGCTGGATGGTGGCCACCAGCGACTGCATGGGGCCTAGCAGCGCCTGGTGCTCCGTCCCCGACAGCCGCGATTGGAACATGGAGAGCCCCCCATGAGCGATTCGATCGAACCCTGGGGCTGTGATGTGGCTGCTGTCGGTGGGATCGGAGTTGGCGCAAGCTTCGAAACGACCGAGGCCTGCTCCGCGATCTTGGTCTGGCACTCTGCTATGAGGGCATCCCCCTCCTCGATTTTCTCCCTCTTGGCCTGGGTTGTCCCCTCCAACTCCTTGGTTTAATCCTGGATGTCCTGGATATTCTGGGTGTGCTTGCTCATCGCCGACTGCACCTTCAGGAGCTTCTGGCTCGCAACCATGAGGACCTGGCGTCTTCTGTGTATATCGTTCCTGCCTGAGATGCTCGATGTCTTCTTCGACCTTCTGCTTGGCGATGGCACTCCCAGCTGTGTCAGAGGTCTTGCCCAAAGCGTCCAGGAGCTGTTGGCATCTCGTGATCTGGGGAGGCCCAGGTTGGTCGATGTACCCCATGGCGGAGATGGCGCCGTCCCCTGTGCCTGGTCATCGTCTGGCGGTGGGGGGGGCACCTTTGTGAGTAGCTGCTGCCGCTGAACACCACACATCCTGCAGCAACTCAGCATGAGGTGGTTGTCCGTTTGGCATTTCGTACATGTCCAGCTCTGGCTTGAAGGCGGTGACCGCGGCGCCTCCTGCTTCGACGGGGGCTTCTTACCTGACGTGGCCTCGCTGCCCTTGCCCTTGCCCTTTGTCGCACCCTTGTGCGAGGACTGATATCTGATCCATGCCACGTGTAGGGTGAGTCGGGACCCACAGCACAACTAGCTGAGGGGATCGTGCGGGCAGAATAAGAAAGCCTGCAGCAGGTTGGCTCGCCGCGGGCTAACCCCTCGGCTGCAGGCAACTACAAGGCCGCAGGGCGACGGTCGCGTACTTGAGCCAAAATGGCTCGAGCCAAAATGACTACCTCCTCCTCCTCCTCCTCCTCCTCCTCCCTCCTCCTCCTCATCCTCCTCCTCCCCTTCCGCCTCCTCCTTCTCCTCATCATCATCATTAGCATAATCATCATCATCACCACCACCATCATCATCATCAGCAGCATAATCATCATCATCATCAGCAGCAGCATCATCATCAGCATCAGCAACATCATCATCAGCATCATATCAGCATCAGTAGCATCATCAGCATCATGATCGTCATCATAATCAAAATCGAAATCATCATCATCCTCAGCATCAGCAGCAACAGCATCATCATCATCAACATCAGCATCATCATCAGCATCATCGTCAGCGGAACCGCGTCATCACCGTCATCACCAACAACAACACCACATCGGCATCACCAACATCAGCACCCTCACAATCATCATCATCAGCAGCAGCAACAACATCAACAGCATCATGCTCATTATCAGCATCATCATCATCATCAGCAGCAGCATCACCATCATCCTCATCCTCGCCATCATCCCCATCTGCATTCTCATCCTCATCCTCATCCTCCTCCTCTTCCTCCTCCTGTCCTCTTCCTCCTCGTCATCCTCGTCCTTCTCCTCCTCCTCATCCTCCTTCATTATCTCCATCATCATCCTCATTCTCTTCCTCCTCCTCCTCTTTCTCGTCCTCCTCCTCAGATCCTCGTCATGTCGTGTTCCTCCTCCTCCTCTTTTTCCTCCTCCTCTTCACCCTTCTCCCCCTCCTCTTCTTCTTAGTATTAATTTTGGTATGATTAGTATGACAAGTATTGTTGATATTTTCATTATAATTAGTACTCTTGACTATTATGCATCCTACCAAATTATATATTCGTATGCTAGTTACGAATATCATGATGTATAGTATTACCTATACGACCACCCTTCGGATGATGAGGAGGTACGGGGGGGGAGGAACCAACGTCTCACGCGATCGGTCTCCCTATGGATCTCACTATCGATCTCACTATCGGTCTCGCTCGATCAATCTCACTCGATCGATCTCACAATCGATATCGCTCGATCAATTTCATTCGATCGATCTCACAATCGATCTGACTATCGATCTCACAATCGATCTCACGATCGATACCACTATCGATTTCACAATCTATCTCACATCCGGTTTCGGGATCGATGTCACGATCTATACCACAATCGATCTCACAATCAACGCCACATCATCATCAACATCATCGTCATCAACGCCATCAACATCATCAGCATCATCATCACCATCGGGACACCATCATCATCATCACCTCATCACCATCACCATCAATATCATCATCACCTCATCAGCATCATCGGGACACCATCATCGTCACCATCATCATCACCAACATCATCATCATCATCATCATCATCATCATCATCATCATCATCATCATCATCATCATCATCATCATCATCATCATCATCATCGGGACACCATCATCATCATCATCATCATCATCATCATCATCATCATCATCATCGGAACACCACCATCATCACCATCGCATCATCATCATGAATAACATCATCAATATCATCATCGGGACACCATCACCATCATCTCGGCTATACGCAAGGGTGACCCTGGGTAAGAGTGACCTTTGGTGCGCGACTTTTTGGGGGCCGCGGGGGGACCTAATCTGGATGCGCAAGCAGCTGCTACTGCTTCGTTTTCAGCCATCTGGGTACCCATCCGTGCCCGCACCAAAGGTCACTCCGGCGAAAGGTCACGCTGACGTCTAGCCGATCATCCTCAGCAACATCATCATCATCGACATCATCACCATCGGGACACCATCATCATCGTCACCATCAGCATCATCACCATCATCAGCACCATCATCGGGACACCATCATCATCATCAACATAAGCATCATCATCATCAGCGGGCCACCATCATCAAAATCACCACCATCATCTCATCATCATCCTCATCATCAACATCATCAAAATCATCATCGGGACACCATCATCGTGATCAGCATCATCGGGACACCATCATCATCAAAACCATCATCTTCATCAACACCATCATCATCAACCTCATCATCATCATCATCATCATCATCATCATCATCATCATCATCATCATCGGGACACCACCACCATCATCTTCATCATCATCCCATCATCTTATCATCATCAACATAATCAGGATCATCAACATCATCACCACCATCGGGACACCATCATCATCAGCAACATCAGCATCATCATCATCGTCGGGGCATCATCATCATCACCACCATGGCCATCATCATCATCACCATCATCATCATCGGGACACCATCATCGCCACCATCATCATCAACATCATCATCGGGACACCATCATCATCATCATCATCATCATCATCATCATCATCATCGGAACACCACCACCACCACCATCATCATCAACTCATCACCATCATGAACAACATCATCAAGATCATCATCATCGGGACACCATCATCACCATCATTATCATCATCATCATCAGCAACATCATCATTATCAACATCATCATCATCATCATCATCATCATCATCATCATCATCATCATCATCATCATCATCATCATCGGGACACCATCATCATCGTCACCATCATCATCAGCACCATCATCATCATCATCATCATCATCATCATCATCATCATCGGGACACCATCATGAACATCAGCATCATCATTACAATCATCGGGCCACCATCATCAAAATCATCATCAGCATCACCTCATCATCGTCCTCATCATCAACATCATCATCATCATCTGCATTCTCGTCCTCATCCTCATCCTCCTCCTCTTCCTCCTCCTGTCCTCCTCCTCCTCGTCATCCTCGTCCGTCTCCTCCATCATCAACATCAAAACCATCATCTTCATCAACACCAGCATCATCAACCTCATCAGCATCATCATCATCATCATCATCATCATCTTCATCATCATCATCATCATCATCATCGGGACACCACCACCATCATCTTCATCATCATCCCATCATCTTATCATAATCAACATCATCAGGATCATCAACATCATCATCATCATCATCATCATCATCATCAACATCATCATCGGGACACCACCATCATCATCATCATCAACATCATCATCATCGGGGCACACTCATCATCACCACCATGGCCATCATCATCATCATCAACATCGTCATCATCATCATCATCATCATCATCATCATCATCATCATCATCATCATCATCTCATCATCGGGACACCGACGGAACACCGGCGGGACACCAGCGGGACACCGCGCGCCACGGGGCCCCGGACAGAAAACACTTGGTCCGGCTGCGCCTCAGCCAGAGGTGGGACACTTCTCGCCCGCCCACGCAGCTTCGCCTCGCCCGCACGCACGGCACGCACGAACACGAAACCGAAACCGATTTCCTGGTAGGGGGGCTCTCCGTTCCACTTCGATCTCACCCCCTCACCTCCGATTACTAGTCTTAGTATGATCATGTGGATTATCATTATTATTAGGATTATGCTTAATAATAGTAGTGTCATTATTCTTGTTATTATTGTTGTTATGACTATTCTGATTATTATCATCATTCTGATGATAAGTATTCCTCCTCCTCCTCCTCCTCTTCCTCCTCCTCCTCGCCATCAAGCCGGCCAGTGCGCGGAGTGTTCCTCCTGATCGGGGCCGGCGGCGGTGGCGTTGCGGCCCGCCAGGCCCGCCGCGGCACGCGCCGCGAATCTCCTGGCCCGCCGCCGGTCGTTGACCTCGTCCTCGTCGTCCTCGCCCTCGTCGCCGCCGCTGTCGCTGCTGTCATCGCCGTGGCCACCGTCGCCGTCGCCGTCGCCGTCGTCGTCGCCACCGTGACGTCGTCGTCGTCGTCGTCATCATCATCCTGTCTCCTCTTGCTCCTGCCTTCTCCTCCTACCCAGAGATCTGACGCTCCCTCAAAAATGCAGCAGGCGGTTTGGGCTCGCCTTCGACCTCTGGGGGCCCTCGCCGGGCCTCGGGAGCGTCAAATAACGACTCAGGACGAAAAACCAGCCCTGGGGAAGTGGTCCAGACCTCCGGGGCCCACGCCTCCAAAAAATTGGAGCGGCCGATGTCTGGGTACCGCATGCTTTTGGGGCTCCGCGCGCGCGCGAGCGTGCCGCGGCAGGCGCCTGCGCGGCCAGCAGTCGGCTACACACAAGACTGACCCAAGAGTAACCTCGCGCGCGGTGGCTTGTCGACCGCTGCACGCGACGCGAACTGTAGCGGCGCGGCCTGTTTGCTCAGGTTTGCTCCCCGCCCCCAAGCGCCCGTTCAAAACCGCGCACCATAGGCCACTCCGAGAGGGAAAAAAACTGCATGTGTAGAAACTTCTGGAGGTCCGCGCGGACTTCCGAACGTGTCTCTGCTTACACCGCTTGTTCTCCTCCGAACTCGGGCCTACGGCGGCCGCTCGGGACGACTCGGGCACCCCCGAAACGCTCTCGGCGAGGCGCAGCTGATGGAACGCATCCCGAGGCAGAAAAGTCCCCGTGAAGGAACTGACGGCGAGATTGCTTCTATAATTTCCGGCAAAGGTCGTTACCTGGGGGGGGGCCGGGTAACGAAAATGCTTGGGAGGGCTAGGGCGCATCGGGGCGGGGTTGCGCTGCGACCGCCAGTGTGCGCGCGAGCACCAGCTTGCGGGGGGAGTTCAGCCCCCCCCTACGTACGACCGTTACCGCCACCCAGGAGGGGGCCCCTGGCCAACGACCCTTACGCACCAAAGGATAACAAAAACAAAAAAAACTCCCCAGACCCCGACGTCATGATTTCTTTCATAGCCTCGACCCGCCTCAAAAGGTCTCGACCCATTCCCAGGACCGGCCTTTCATCCCGGGTCGCTTTCATCCCGGGTCGCTTTTTGACGGTTCCGAGGCCCTGCAAGGGCCCCCCGAGGCCGAAAGCAGCGAAACGCCTCCTGTCGCGACTCTTTTTCGTCCTGACTCGAGGGGGTCCGGGTCGGCAGCGTCCGAGAGCGCGTCGCCGACGGGGGACCCCGAAGGCGCCGCGCACCGCCAGGGGAACGACCGATGGCATAAACATACAAACTCGGAGGTCCGCGCGGATTTCTTGGATCCGCACGGGACCCCAATCCCTGGCGCGCGGAGCGCGCCAGGGGCGGCGCTGGAGGCGCCGCCAGGGAGCCCCCTCCGGGGCTGTCTCGGGTGCCCCTTGGGCCGTGTGGAGGCGGTCTGGGGCCGTCTGGGGGTTGTCTGGGGCCGTCTTGGGCGTCTCTGGAGCGGTCTGGGTACCGCCTGGGGGTCGTCTAGGGCCGTCCTGGGCCGCTCTTGAGGCTGTCTTGGGTCAGCGCGGACCTCCGAGCTCTTATGTTGATGTCATGCGTCGTTCCCCTAACCTTACGTCGGGCATGTCCCCCTACAGGCGGAGTTTGGACGAAAAAATCCAAACATGGTTTGACAAATAGGCAAGCATGGCCAAAAATAGCGGAAAACTGGCCCCCCGACTATTCCTGGACCACTCTTGAGCATCCCTCCCGCAGGGGGACGCGCCCGACGTAGCCCTGGCCTTAAGTCGGGCCTGTCCCCCTACAGGGGGATTGTGGACGCAAAATTAAAAATAGTCAACAAATACCCTAAAATATTCAAAAATGGTAAATTATCCCGGCAAAGCAACCTAACAGCGATGTGTAGGAGCATATCTGGAAGCATTCCCCTTAAGATTCACATGAGAATCCAGTTGTAGAATTCTGCTGTTCTCGCAGTCGCAGTCGCATTCGCGATGAAAGTCGCAGTGGCAACGGCAGTCGCAGTCACAGCCTCAGCCTCAGCCTGCCTCAGCCTCAGCCTCAGCCTGCCTCAGCCTCAGCCTCAGCCTGCTTCAGCCTCAACTCAGTCTGCCTTCAGCCTCGGCCTCAGCCTGCCTCAGCCTCACCCTCAGCCTCAGCCTCAGCCTCAGCCTGCCTCAGCCTCAGCCTCAGCCTGCTTCAGCCTCAGCCTCAGTCTGCCTTCAGCCTCGGCCTCAGCCTCAGCCTGCCTCAGCCTCAGCCTGCATCAGCCTCAGCCTCAGCCTCAGCCTGCCTCAGCATCAGCCTGCCTCAGCCTCAGCCTCAGCCTGCCTCAGCCTCAGCCTCAGCCTGCTTCAGCCTCGGCCTCAGTCTGCCTTTAGCCTCGGCCTCAGCCTCAGCCTGCCTCAGCCTCAGCCTGCCTCAGCCTCAGCCTCAGCCTCAGCCTGCCTCAGCATCAGCCTGCTCAGCCTCAGCCTCAGCCTGCCTCAGCCTCAGCCTCAGCCTGCTTCAGCCTCAGCCTCAGTCTGCCTTCAGCCTCGGCCTCAGCCTCAGCCTGCCTCAGCCTCAGCCTGCCTCAGCCTCAGCATCAGCCTGCCTCAGCATTCAAAATGTGCCCGGGAATGGAGTTCTGGGAACTCGAAGAACACGAAGTGGCCTACAGTTGGCTCCGGGCATTCAAAATCATGCCCAGGAATGGAGTTCTGGGAACTCGAAGACCACGAAGTGGCCTACAGTTGGCTCCGGGCATCCAAAATGTGGCCCGGGAATGGAGTTCTGGAAACTCGAAGACCACGAAGTGGCCTACAGTTGGCTCCGGGCATCCAAAATGTGGCCCGGGAATGGAGTTCTGGGAACTCGAAGACCACGAAGTGGCCTACAGTTGGCACCGGGCATCCAAAATGTACGCCGGGAATGGAGTTCTGGGAACTCGAAGACCACGAAGTGGCCTACAATGGGTTCCGGGCATCCAAAATGTACGCCGGGAATGGAGTTCTAGCAGCGCCAAGAGCGATTTTGCGAGGATGTCCCAAGCGATTTGGGCTTCGACGGCAGCCGCCCCGGGTCCCGCCCCGACCCCCCTGAGGAGTCATGATGCTCTCTTTTGACCCTACTAGAAACCTATCTGTCTTCGCTGTTAGGTAACAACAATAAAAAAAGACAGCAACAACAAAAAAATAAAATTACCCTGCGACGTACCCAACCCGCGTGCATCAAATGGCAAGAGGAATATGCCAACATTAGCAGGAACAACGACAGTGTAGACGCGGCGATTTGCTGTGCAAGCTACATGGGATGCGCGTGCGTTGCACGATTCACAGGACGACGATCCAAAGAACGAGGATTGAGGCCCCAGGATCGAAGAAGAACGGGTACGGGAACGAGGGGTAGGAGAGGGATGGAATGGAGGGCGGGGGGGGGGGGGCGAAAGGCCATCGCGGAAGCAGCAGCATGCATGGAGAAGGTGAGGCGGGGAATAGGACGACGATGAAAGTGGCGGGAGGAGACAGAAGACTGCCGCGTTTTTCGAGTGCGAGCTAAACCCGCAGCGCTGCCTGCGCCATGTCGTCGCAGAGTTCCACATGATAAAACTGGTTTAGAGTGCAAGGAACGAGCGAGGCGTAGCTCGCCCGCTAGCTTCTCCGCCTCCTTCCCGCACATTTCAGCGCGGGAGCTGAACGCTCGCAGGCGCGCCGCCAGGTCTGCGGGCGGCCCGCGGGAAAGAAACTCAAGGCCGGGGTCGCGTATCATCAATCGGTTGTCCATCGTCCAAAGTTGCACTGGCGACGTACTGGTTGAACGCGGAGCGAGCAGCATCACGCGCGTGCCTGAACGCCACGCAGGTACAGTGCACGCGCGATTGGGACTTCAGGTCGATCACGCGCGTCTCCACCAGGCGACTTCAGGTCGATCACGCGACAGTTTCACAGATCGCAACCCCCCAGGGATGGCGAGGTCTAATCTGTATCCCCGTAGGGCGTCACTCCGCTGGGCCCCCCACGCAGCCTTCGAAAGTGGCGACAGTTTCACAGATCGCAGCCCCCCAGGGATGGCGAGGTCTAATCTGAATCCCCGTAGGGCGTCACTCCGCTGGGCCCCCCAGCAGCCCTCGAAAGTGGCGACGGTTTCGCAGATCGCAGCCCCCCAGGGATGGCGAGGTCTAATTTGAGTCTGCGGTGAGTACCCACTGTGCTGGGCTCCTCAGCAGCCCTCGAAAGTGGCGACCGTTTCACGGATCGCAGCCCCCCAGCGATGGCGAGGTCTAATCTGAGTCTGCGGTGAGTACCCACTGCGCTGGGCCACTCAGCAGCCCTCGAACGTGGCGACAGCTTCACAGATCGCAGCCCCACAGGGATGGCGAGGTCTAATTTGAGTCTGCGGTGAGTACCCACTGCGCTGTGCCCCTCAGCAGCCCTCGAAAGTGGCGACAGCTTCACAGATCGCAGCCCCCCAGGGATGGCGAGGTCTAATCTGAGTCTGCGGTGAGTACCCACTATGCTGGGCTCCTCAGCAGCCCTCGAAAGTGGCGACAGTTCCACAGATCGCAACCCCCCAAGGATGGCGAGGTCTAATCTGAGTCTGCGGTGAGTACCCACTGTGCTGGGCCCCTCAGCAGCCCTCGAAAGTGGCGACAGCTTCAAACATATTCGCAGCCCCCCATGGATGGCAAGGTCTAATCTGAGTCTGCGGTGAGTACCCACTGTGCTGTGCCCCTCAGCAGCCCTCGAAAGTGGCGACAGTTTCACAGATCGCAGCCCCCCAAGGATGGCGAGGTCTAATCTGAGTCTGCGGTGAGTACCCACTGTGCTGGACCCCTCACCAGCCCTCGAAAGTGGCGACAGTTTCACGGATCGCAGCCCCCCAGCGATGGCGAGGTCTAATCTGAAGCCCCGTAAGACGTCACTCTGCTCGCCCCACAGCAGCCCTCGAAAGTGGCGACAGTTTCACAGATCGCAGCCACCCAGGGATGGCGTGGTGGAGGGAAGAGAGGAGCAAGGGAGGAGAGGAGGAGGGAAGATAGGAGAAGGGAAGCAAGAGAGGGGAGAGGAGGAGGGAAGAGAGGTGGAGGGAGGCGGGAGGAAGGAGTGGAGACCGCAGTGCTCTATTCAAAACGAGTACCCAACGCAGGAGGGTTGGGAATTATCCCGGCAAAGCAACCTAACAGCGATGTGTAGAAGCATATCTGAAAGTCTTCCCCTGAAGATTCATATGAAAATCCAGTTGTAGAATTCTGCTGTTCTCGCAGTCGTAGTCGCATTCGCGATGACAGTCGCAGCGGCAACGGCAGTCGCAGTCACAGCCTCAGCCTCAGCCTGCCTCAGCCTCAGCCTCAGCCTGCCTCAGCCTCAGCCTGCCTCAGCCTCAGCCTCCGCCTGCTTCAGCCTCAGCCTCAGTCTGCCTTCAGCCTCGGCCTCAGCCTCAGCCTGCCTCAGCCTCAGCCTGCATCAGCCTCAGCCTGAGCATCAGCCTGCCTCACCATCAGCCTGCTTCAGCCTCAGCCTCAGCCTACCTCAGCCTCAGCCTCAGTCTGCTTCAGCCTCAGGCTGTCTGCCTTCAGCCTCGGCCTCAGCCTCAGCCTGCCTCAGCCTCAGCCTGCCTCGGCCGCAGCATCAGCCTGCCTCAGCATTCAAAATGTGGCCCAGGAATGGAGTTCTGGGAACTTGAAGAACACGAAGTGGCCTACAGTTGGCTCCGGGCATTCAAAATCATGCCCAGGAATGGAGTTCTGGGAACTTGAAGAGCACGAAGTGGCCTTCAGTTGGCTCCGGGCATCCAAAATGTGGCCCGGGAATGGAGTTCTGGGAAATCGAAGAGCACGAAGTGGCCTACAGTTGGCTCCGGGCATCCAAAATGTGGCCCGGGAATGGAGTTCTGGGAAGTCGAAGAGCACGAAGTGGCCTACAGTTGGCTCCGGGCATCCAAAATGTGGCCCGGGAATGGAGTTCTGGGAGCACCAAGAGCGATTTTGCGAGGATGTCCCAAGCGATTTCGGCTTCGACGGCAGCCTCCCCGGGTCCCGCCCAGACCCCCCTGAGGAGTCATGATGCTCTCTTTTGAGACCACTAGAAACCTATCAGCAAGAGCTGTTAGGTAAAAACGTCCCCAGACTATTGTTCGACTATTACTTTTGAATATTCCTCCTGTAGAAGGACAGGCCCGACGTAGCCCTGGCCACAGGGGCCACGCTGGCGGAGGGGCCGCGGCGCCCGCGCACGGAGCCGCGGCGCGCGGCCCGCCGGCGGAGGCGGCGGGGGGCCCCGCGCGTCAGGCGGGCGGCGAGGCGCCTCGCGCCGGGGACGGGCTGCTCGGCGCGGCGGGGCCCGGCGGCGGCGGCGGCGGCCCCGCGGCCAGCTGGGCGGCGAGGGGCGGCAGCACGCGGTGGAGGAAGTCGTACTGCTCCGCCGTCTGGACCTCGGGCGGCGCTCCCATGGCGGGGAGAAACAAAAACAAAAAAACTCCGAGGTGGTCAAAAAGATGCTCGAAGCATCGTCTCCAGACTGCTTGTGTGGGACTCTTTTTGGATCTTCCCCCTGCAGAGGGACGCGCCCGACTTGACAATGGGGGGGGGCGGTACCCAGAGATCCGACGCTCCAAAACAAAAATCGGAGCGGGCGGTTTTGGGGCCGTGCTTGGCCTTTGGGGGCCCTCGCGGGGCCTCGGGAGCGGCAATAAACGGCTCGGGACGAAGAACCAGTTGGGAAGTGGTCCAGACCTCCAGGGCCCACGCATCGGGAAAATTGGAGCGACCGGATGTCTGGGCACATGGGGGGGGGGGAGAGAATTGCGCACTTCTCGGACCCGGAAGGCCCCCTTCTGGGCGAGAGGGCCCCTCTTCGGGGGCCCTGCAGAAGGGCCCCTTGTCTGCAGCCCCCGCTGCCCCCCCCATTCCTCGCCCCCCCATTGCGCTGCGCCCAGGGACCATGTTCATACGGCAGCGCCGGAGGTAGCCAACCTCGTGTCCGTCGGATTTTTCCCCATGGCAACGGCACCGCCCCGTGGAGCGATGCCGCCGCCCGACATGGAGCTTCGGAGGGTCGGCAGGCGGTCCCGCCGCGGGGACGCTGCCGCCCGACGCTGGTCGGCCAGTCCCTGGGGCGGCTGCGCAGCCCCTGGGGTACGTTCGCGCAGGGGCGCCTCGTCGAGAGCACTCTCAGAGGTGCCCGCGTCGAGGAGGAGGAGGAGGAGGAGGAGGAGGAGGAGGGCAGAGGAGGAGGAGGAGGAGGAGGGCGGGCGAGCAGGAGATGAGGAGGGGGGGAGGAGAGGAGGGGGGGCGGACGAGGGAGGAGAGGAGGAGAGGAGGTAGGAGGAGAGGGAGGGGCGGACAAGGAGAGGGGATGAGGAGGAGGAGGAGGGAGGGCGGGACGATGGAAGGGAGGAGGAGGAGAGGAGGAGGAGGAGGGCGGACGAGGGAGGAGGAGGAGGAGGAGGAGGAGGAGGAGGAGGAGGAGGAGGAGGGGGAGGTCTCGACAACGGCGGCCGCCGGGGGCCCAGGGCCCCCCGTGGCGCGGGCCGCCAGCAGCGCGCGGCAGGGGGCCAGGGCGAGAGGGGCGGCCGGCCGAGGAGAGCGAGGGGCCCCGCGGGCTGCCCGGGGAGGGGCTCCGGGCAGTCTGGAGGGCCTCTGGGAGAGCCCCCTGCGCTCCGTGAGAAGGGCCGGCGAGTGTCGTCCTCCTCCTCCTCCTCCTCCTCCTCCCTCCTCCTCCACCTCTCCTCCTCCTCCCCCTCCTCCTCCTCCTCCTCTTCCTAAGTACTACATACTACTACTACTACTAAACTACTACTACTACTACTACTACTACTACTACTACTACTACTACTCTACTACTACTATACTACTACTACTACTACTACTGCTCTGCTGCTGCTACTTGCTACTACTACTACTACTACTACCTAACTACTACTACAAACTCACTACTACTACTAACTACTACAACTACTACTACTAACACTAACTACTACTACTTGCTGCTACTAACTAACTACTAACTACTCCTAACTACTACTACTACTACTAACTACTACTACTACTACTACTACTGACTACTACTACTACTACTGCTACTGCTAACTGCTCTGCTACTGCTACTGCTACTGCTACTGCTACTACTACTACTACTACTACTGCTACTACTACTACTACTACTACTACTACTACTACTACTACTACTCATCATGGTGTTGGTGGTGATGGTCGTCGTCTTCCGTCGTCATCGATGTCGTCTTCGTCCGTCGGCGTCGTCCGTCGTCGTCGTCGTCGTCGTCGTCCTCATCGTCTCAAGCCTCCGTCGTCACCGAAGACGTCGTCGCCATCGTCCGTCGTCCTCGTCGTCCATCGTCGTCGTCGTCGTCATCGTCGTCCGTGATCGGCATCATCGTCGTCCGTCCGTCCGTAGTCGTCATCGTCCGTCGTCGTCGTCGTCCGTCGTCATCGTCGTCGTCGTCGTCCGTCGCCGTTGTCGTTTTTCGACGTCGCTTTCGTCACCGTCGTCGTCGTCGTCTACCTTCGTCGTCGTCTGTCGTCGTCGTCGTTGTCGTCGTCGTCGTCATCCATCGTTGTCGTCGTCGTCGGCATCGTCGTCTGTCGTCGTCGTCCTGCTTCGCCGTCGTCGGTCGTCGTCGTCGACGTCGTCGTCGTCCGTCCGTCCGTCCGTCAGTTCGTCCGTCGACGTTGTCTTCCGTCGTCACCAAAGACGTCGCGGCGTCGTCGGCATCGTCGTCGTCATCGTCGTCGTCCCCACCTCCGTCGTCCTCGTCCTCGTCGTCATCATCTTCCGATGTCGTCATCGTCGTCCATCCTCCGTCGTCTTCGTCGACCGTCGTTTTCGTGGGCGTCTTCGTCGTCCGTCGTCATCGTCGTCTTACGTCGTTGTCCATCATCGTCCATCGTCGTCGTCGTCGTCATTTGAGGTCGTCGTCCACCCTCGTTGTCGTCGTTTTGGTCGCTGTCGCCGTCAGTCGTCCGTCGTCGTCCATCGTCTTCGTCGTTGACCATCGTCGTCGTCGTTCATCGACGTCTGTCGTCGTCGTCTATCATGGTCGTCGTGGTCGACGTCCGTCGTCGTCGCTGTCGTCCGCCGTCGTCGTCGTCGTCGTCGTTCGTCGCCGTCGTCGCCGTCGTCGTCGACCGTCATTGTCGTCGTCGTCGTCGTTCGACGTCGTCCGTCGTCGTCGTCGGTCGCCTTCGTCGTCGTCCATCGTCGTCGTCGTCGTCGTCGTCGTCGTCCGTCGACCGTCGTACGCCGTCCGCCGTCCATCGTGCTCGTTCTTGTCATCGTCGTCGTCTCCGTCTTCATTTTCTTCCGTCGGCGTCCTCCTCTGTCGTCTTGCTTCGTCGTTGTGGGGGCGGTCATCGTCGTGACCCGACGTCGTCATAGTCGTCGTCGTCGTCGGCCATCGTCCGCCGTCCGTCGTCCACCGTCTTCGCCGACCGTCGTCTGTCGTTGTCGTGGTCGTCCGTCGTCGTCGTCGTCGTCGTCGTCAGTGGTCGTCCGTCGTCGTCGGCGTCGCCAGTCTCCACTCGTCGCCGACTGTCGCCGTTATCCACTTTCGCCGTCGTCGCCGTCGGTACATACTGTCCTCATCGTCGTCGTCCGTCGTCATCGTCGCTGTCGTTGTCGTCGTCGTCGCCCGTCGTCATCGTCCTCATTGTCCGTCGTCCGTCGTCAAACGACGTTGTCGTCGTAGTCCACCACCCGTCGTCCTCGTCGTCGGTCGTCAGTCGTCGTCGTCCATCGTCGTCGTCGTCGTCGTCGTCCGTCCGTCACCCGTCGTCCTCGTAATCGTCGTTCATCGTCGTTGTCGTCCGGCGTCGTTGTCGTCGTTGTCGTCGTTGCAGTCTTCTGTCGCCCTCAATCATCCTCCGACGTCGTCGTCGTCGTCGTGGTCGTCCGTCGTCGTCGTCGTCGACGTCCTCTTCGTCGTGGCCGTCGCCGTCAGTGTCGTCGTCGTCGTCCGTCGTCCATCGTCCGTAGTCCATCGTTGACCGCCGTCGTCTCCATCGTCGTGTGTTGTCGCCAGCAATCATCGTCGTCGTCGTCCGTCGACCGTCGACTGTCGTCCGTCATCGTCGTCTGCCGTCTTCGTTGTCCATCGTCGTGGTCGTCCGTCGTGGCTGTTGTCGCCTTCTTCCGTCGTCGTCATCCACCGTCGTCCTCCGTCGTCGTCGTCGTGGTGGTCGTCGTCGTCGCGGCCGTCGTCCGTCGGCGTCGTCGCCCGTCGCCCGTCGTCGTCGTCACTCGTCAATCGTCGTCGATCGTCGTCGTCGTCGCTGTCATCGTCGTCATCATCCTCGTCCTCCGTCGTCGTCTGTCGTTCGTCGTCGTCTGAAAACGTCGTCGTCCATCGGCGTCGTCGTCGCCGTCGTCGTCGTCGCCGTCGTCGTCGTCCGTCATCGTCGTCTGTCGTCTTCGTGGTCGTCGTCGTCGTCGACGGTCGTTGTGGTCGTCCGTCGTCCGTTCTCGTCGTCGTCGGCAGTCGTCGTCGTCCATCGTCGTCGTCCGTCGTCCGTCGTCCGTCGTCCTTCTGCCATCGTCCTCGTCGTTTTTGTCATCCATCATCGTCTTTGTCGTCCGTCGTTGTCGTCGTCGTCGTCTTCAATCGTCGTCCTCCTCCTCCGCCGTCCTCCGTCCGGCGTCGTCGACTTCCGTCGTCCGTCGTCCGTTGTCCGTCGTCGACCGTCGTTGTCGACCGTCGTCGTCGTTGTCGCCGTCGTCTATCGTCGACGTCGTCGTCGTCCTTTCTATCGTCGTCGTAGTCGTCCGTCGTCGTCGTCCGTGGTCGACAGCCGCTGTCGTCTGTCGTCCGCCGTCGTCGTCTGTGGTCGTCGTCTGTCGTCCGTCGCCGTCTTCCATCGCCGTCGTCGTAGTCGTCCTCCTCCTCCTCCTTCTCATCCTCCTCCTCCTCCTCCTCCTCTTCCTCCGCCACCGTCCTCCGTCGTCGCCGTCTTGGTGGTGGTGGTGGTGGTCGTCGTCTGTCGCCCGTCGCCCGCCGCCCGCCGCCCGTCGTCCGTCGTCGTCGTCGGCAGCCAGCTGGTCCGGGCTGCAGCTGGAGGGCGGGAGCCCCAGCGCCACGGCGCGGGCCCCGCAGTCTGCCGCGATGAACACGCCAGCGCGCCCGATGCCGCCCGCGCAGTGGACCACGACGGAGGGCTGGGCCTCCCCGTGGCGCGCGACGAACGAGTCCACCAGCCGCAGCAGCGCGAGGAACCTGTCCCGCGGCGGCGCGCCGAGGGGCCGCGCCCGCTTCGCCTCGAGGCCGTCCGGGCCGAGCCTCGGGGCCGAGGGCCAGCGAGGCCGAGTCCGGCCTACCCCTTGGCGTGGGAGGCGGCACGGGGGGTGCTCTCTGCTCCGGCTCGAGGCCACGAGGCCGGAAGCGAGAGGCGAGCGGCGGCGGCCCCCGTCGAAGGCGGGTGGGGGCCTCCCAGAAGCCCCCGTGCGTCGCCCGAGAGGCCCTCCGTGGCTGCGGGGCGGGCTCCAGGAAGCCCGGGGCCCTTCGATGAGCCTCCTGAGAGGATCCCGCCCGCATCTGCCTCCCCCCCCAGGGGGGCGCGCCGCGGAGACCTGTCCATCGGGGGCTCGTCCTGGTCGCGCCACCAGGAGACCGACAGCTGGGGGCCGCACCACTCGCGGTCGCGGAGGCCGCACCGCAGCCTCCTGACCGTGCAGGCTGCGGGCTCCTCGCACGGGGGAGCGCGAGACGAGGATGGATGGGGGGCGAGGAGCAGCGAGGAGGCCCGAGGAGCGAGGAGCCGCGAGGAGGCTCGAGGAGCTGCGAGGAGCTCTTCGAGGAGGCTCGAGGGGGCGAGGGAGGAGGCTCGGGGAGCAAGGAAGCTCCTCGCACGCGTCCGCCTCCAGCGCCGACAGCGAGGGGCCCCCGGGAGGCAGCGACTCCGGCAGCCAGTACTCGGGGAAGTCCGCCGCCTGCCGCGCGGAGGGAGGAGCTTGCCACCGCCGATGCCTTGTGTTTTGCCTCCTCCTCCTCATCCTCACCCTCGTCCTCCTCCTCCTCCTCCTCCTCCTCCTCCTCCTCCTCCTCCTCCTCCTCCTCCTCCTCCCCTTCCTCCTTATTATCCTCCATTCTTTTTCCTTATAAATAACTTCTCCCTGTCGCACCCCGAGGTCAATCTTTAGGGCGGGCTGGGCGTTTCGCCTGAGACCTCCTCACCACTTATGACCCTGAAGCTTAAACATTGGCAACAATTTCAAAGATGGAGGAAGGGCCGTTTTTTTAATGTGGCTCTCGCCTCAGCGCCACGCACGTTCGATTTAAACAAGTGCAAGAGCTTCACGGGTTGAGGGCGAATGGCTTTAAACATGTAGTTCTCGCCTTACCGCCGCGCACATTCGTTGAAAAATGTGCACGCGGTTCACGGATTGAGGCGGTTCCTTTCAAAAAATTGGGCTCTCGCCTTAGCGGCGCGCACATTCGTTTTGAACATTTGCAAGGGCTTCACGGGTTTGGGGCGGCTGGTTTTCAAAATGTGGCTCTCGCCTTAGCATCACTCGTTTCAGAAATTTGCAAGAGCTTCACGGATTGAGGGCGGCTCCTATTCAAAATGTGGCTCTCGCCTCAGCGCCGCGCGCATTTCTTGTTAATACAATTTGCAAAAGTTTCACGGATTCCCATCATCAACGTACCAGAAATGGTGTTTAGAAAGACTCCGGATTATGCGGGCGCAACAGTTACGTTGATTGGCGGTGCTGAAGTCCCAAGAATAGCGTTCTGGCACGATTCAGCACCGTCAGGACGCGACAGTCAGGTTGATCCGTGGCGTTGGAATCCCGAGAACAATGTTTTGGCATGCTTCAGTCTTCGAACGGTTGTCTTCTGACGGGGCAGTTCCCTCAGTGGACGTGAAGCGCTGTGGGAGCCTATGAAGAGGAAGCATTGGAGAGCTGACTCCAACATCGTTGATGACTCTTGGGTCTACACTGGTCCTCCTCCTCCTCCTCCTCATCAGACTCCGACTCCTCCTCCTCCTCCTTCCCCTCCCCCTCCTCCTCCCCCTTCTCCTCCTCCTCATCCTCCTCCTCCTGCCTCCTCCTCACCCTTTTACTCCTCCTCCTCCTCCTCCTCCCTCCCTCCCCTCCCTCCCTCCCTCCCTCCCTCCCTCCCTCCTCTCCCTCCTCTCCCTCCTCCTCCCATCCTCCTCCTCCTCCACCTCCTCCTCCTCCTCCTCCTCCTCCTCCTCCTCCTCCTCCTCCTCCTCCCCCCCGGGTGGGGGGAGGACTGCGCGGCGGACGGAAGGAGAGAGCAAAGAGCGAGCGGCAAAGGGGAGGAGGGCAACCACGCACGCTGACACAATTTTGATCTGCGGGGCGAGAGCGAACCTCTTCCGCTAAAAGCTAGGCGGGCTCCGCACAGCTTTCATCAGGGAGACAGGGCACAGGAAGGCGCGCACGCTGACACAAGCCAGGGGACAACTGCAGCCATGCGCAAGAGAGTTTGCCAGCACTGGTCCTGGCCAGGTCGATCCTGGGCCCTGGACTGGAGCATAACCCGCCTCGGGCCCTCATTCCCCAGGGACAGCCTTCCGTCCCAGATCCATGTCTGGTGGTCGTGGGGCCCAATATAAGACGAAGCCAGGACGAGGACCAATTCGGACGAGGATGAATCCAGAATCCCTGAGATCCGGCGGCTCTGGAGGATGTATTGGGCGACGCGGCCGTCTCAGAGCGTTCCAGAACGCTCCGAGAGCGTTCCTAAAACGCTCTGGAACGGACATCCGCGCTCGTGACGAGGGGGACACTTCGCGAAACCTCCCGCGCGAACTGCCCCGCGGAATGCCCGAAACCTCCCGCGCGCCTGGGCCGTCCGATGATGGCTGGCCCGGGAGGCCGAAACCAAGGACAGGCGCCCGGGCTGAAGAGAGAAAGAGAGAGAGTATGCCGTCTAAGCTCTGGGCCCTCTCGAGCCTCCCGGGGCAGGGAGGTGGGAGGGCTGGGCTGGAAAACAAACGACACCACCCAACGGGCCTTACGGTGAGGGCATTGGAGAAGGAACCCTTGGATAAGGAACCCAGGGTCTGGAAGCCGGCGGAACACCAAAGGAAGCTTGGCCATGGATATATCACCGCCGCCCTCATGAGATGAGGAATCCTACAAGGCCTGAAGCCTCCTGGGCACAGTCCTTCACGAGCGCCGCCATCGCAGCGTGTACCATGAGTTCCGGCTTGGGCCTTCTGCGTGGCACCATGGAAGGCCGCAGGTGGGGCGGTGAAGTGGTTTATCACAGAGCCGGATTTCCGCAGCTGCGAAGTCGGAGGAGGATGAGGAGGAGAGGAGGAGAGAGGAGGAGAGGAGGAGATGAGGAGAGGAGGAGGAGGGGGGGGAGGGACAGGAGGAGGAGGAGGAGGAGGAGGAGGAATAGTGGGAGGAGGGCCAGGAGGAGGAGGAGCGGAGGGAGGCAGCCGCCTCCCGCGGGGGTATCAGGCCGTTGAGCATCACGATGGCGGCGGGGCGCACGTGCAGCACCATCCGCCAGAAGTCCCCCACCTCGCTCGGGGGGGAGCACGAGCGAGCCAGGGGGGGGGGGGGGGCGAGGAGCAGCGAGGAGGCCCGAGGGCAGCGAGGAGGCCCGAGGAGCTGCGAGGGGGCTCGAGGAGGCTCGGGGGGCCGAGGGGGGAGGCTCGGGGAGCGAGGAGGCTCGAGGAGCTAAGACGCGGGAGGCGCGAGGAGGGCGGGGCCGAGGTTCGAGGAACGAGAAGGGCTCGAACGAATTATGCTAACGGAGTTCCCCACATACAGAGATTAACGGTTTCGTGGGACCCATTTTCTTGATGCCCTCCTCGCTCAGGCGGGGCCTCCCTGGAGGGGTGGGAGGGGCACGAAACCATGTAAATAGTATGGTATTCCGATACCCTCCTCGCTCAGGCGGGGCCTCCCTGGAGGGGTGGGAGGGGCACGAAACCATGTAAATAGTATGGTATTCCGATACCCTCCTCGCTCAGGCGGGGCCTCCCTGGAGGGGTGGGAGGGGCACGAAACCATGTAAATAGTATGGTATTCCGATACCCTCCTCGCTCAGGCGGGGCCTCCCTGGAGGGGTGGGAGGGGCACGAAACCATGTAAATATTATGGTTTACCGATACCCTCCTCGCTCAGGCGGGGCCTCCCTGGAGGGGTGGGAGGGGCACGAAACCATGTAAATAGTATGGTATTCCGATACCCTCCTCGCTCAGGCGGGGCCTCCCTGGAGGGGTGGGAGGGGCACGAAACCATGTAAATAGTATGGTATTCCGATACCCTCCTCGCTCAGGCGGGGCCTCCCTGGAGGGGTGGGAGGGGCACGAAACCATGTAAATAGTATGGTATTCCGATACCCTCCTCGCTCAGGCGGGGCCTCCCTGGAAGGGTGGGAGGGGCACGAAACCATGTAAATAGTATGGTATTCCGATACCCTCCTCGCTCAGGCGGGGCCTCCCTGGAGGGGTGGGAGGGGCACGAAACCATGTAAATAGTATGGTATTCCGATACCCTCCTCGCTCAGGCGGGGCCTCCCTGTAGGGGTGGGAGGGGCACGAAACCATGTAAATAGTATGGTATTCCGATACCCTCCTCGCTCAGGCGGGGCCTCCCAGGAGGGGTGGGAGGGGCACGAAACCATGTAAATAGTATGGTATTCCGATACCCTCCTCGCTCAGGCGGGGCCTCCCTGGAGGGGTGGGAGGGGCACGAAACCATGTAAATAGTATGGAATTCCGATACCCTCCTCGCTCAGGCGGGGCCTCCCTGGAGGGGTGGGAGGGGCACGAAACAATGTAAATAGTATGGTATTCGGATACCCTCCTCGCTCAGGCGGGGCCTCCCTGGAGGGGTGGGAGGGGCACGAAACCATGTAAATAGTATGGTATTCCGATACCCTCCTCGCTCAGGCGGGGCCTCCCTGGAGGGGTGGGAGAGGCACGAAACCATGTAAATAGTATGGTATTCCGATACCCTCCTCGCTCAGGCGGGGCCTCCCTGGAGGGGTGGGAGGGGCACGAAAACATGTAATTAGTATGGTATTCCGATACCCTCCTCGCTCAGGCGGGGCCTCCCTGGAGGGGTGGGAGGGGCACGAAACCATGTAAATAGTATGGTTTTC